AGGAACACAAGCAGGGGGAGTGGGAGAGGGAGAAGCAGGCTTGCCGCTGAGCAGGGAGCCTGATGCGGGGCTCGATCCCAGGACCCCGGGATCATGACCTGAGCTGAAGGCAGACACTTAACGACTGAGCCACCCAGGCACCCCTGCATAGACATTTTAAATAGGCAGCTTTCAGTTTATCGTAAGACCTTTCTTGATACAAAGTATTCTTAATGATATATATACATAGACATTTTAAATAGGCAGCTTTCAGTTTATCATAAATATATATATATATATAAGTATTCTTTAATGATATATATATATATATATATTTAATGAATAATCTTCTATTCATTCAACATTTTCTATGTACTGAGTACCTAAAGTATGTTACCCAACTAATCTTTTCAGCCACCCAATAGGATAGATATAATTATCTGCACTTTGTAGATGTAGAAACTGAGACCTAAAGAGATTGTTCATTTTCCCATGGCCATAAGCAGTTGAGATGTGGAGCAAGAATCTGTACCCAGTTTGCCTGACTCCAAGGCCTGTGTTCTCTAACCACTGCACTGCACAGCCTCATGAGCTGGTGAGCACCTTTCCTTGCAGGTATTCAAACCCTGACTGATGCTCAGCTCTCAGGAGTATCACTGGCCTACTCCCTGCTTTTAATCTGAGACTGCATTAAAATCTAATCCTTAGTATACACCCAAGAGAATTGAAAGCAAGGTCTTGAAGAGGTATTGGTACATCCATGTTCTTAGCAGCATTATTCACAACAACCAAAAGGTGGAAGCCATCCAGGTCTCCATCAACAGCCAAATGGCATAAACAAAATGTGGCATATACATTTTATTGTGTATCTACCCTGTTACTGTGGTATATAGTACATACTATTTGGCCTTAAAAATGAAGGAAATTCCGCAGTGTGCTACATGGATGAACCATGAAGATATGATGCTAAGTGAAATAGACCAGTCCCAAAAGGACAAATACTGTATAAGTCCACTCATGTGAGGTCCCTGGAGTCATCAGATTCATAGAGAGAAAGGAGAATGGTGGTTGCCTGGGAGGGAGGGTGGATGGCAGAATGGAGAGTCATTGTTTCATGGGTATGGAGTTTCAGTTTTGCGAGATGGAAGGAGCTCTGGAGATGGGTGGTGGTGGTGGTCGCAAAACAGTGTGGCTGTACCAAAGACCACTAAACTGGCCACTTAAAAATGGTTAAGGTGGTACATTTTATGCTATGTGTATTTCACCACAACTTTTAAGATGTAATCGTTAGATAAACTTGAATGGCCCCTTTCACCTCTTAAGAGCATAAAATTCTGTAAAACAGACAGGACGAGTAGGCAGTTTATCATCAAAATCCACTGTGAGTGTGTGCTCATCTCTCTGAAAATACTATTTCTCATGCCCATCACATAGTGGGTAGTCAGCATATATTGCTTGAAGCTAAATGATTCATAAGGAAGTTTAAAAATAATGACTTTCCCTTATTACAGTCATGATACATGTTAATTGTGGAAAATACAGATGGGAAAAATAATAAAAATCACTTGTAGTCCTACTGTTAACATTTCCATATAAATCCATCCAGACTGTTTCTATGCATACAAGTGTATTGCAAAAATGAGATCATATTATATACACTGTTTGATAAGCTGCTGTTTCTTCCCTTTAACAATATATTATGGCCTTCTTTCCATGTAAATTGGAAAAATTGAATATTGGCTTTTATTGCACCAATTCATCATCGGTAATGATTGGTAGGGAAAGATAACGTGGATAATTGAAAGCCATTTTTTCTCCCCCTTCCCTTCCAGTCTGTTTTTTTCTCCAGAGAATTCCTCCCTTCACTGAGACAGAATTGCCTTCTTCTTAGCCTTGCCCTGAGCTAGTTTTCTTACAAACAGCCTTGCAATTGCTTTGTATATTTCACCCCAGCTTTTGGCTGTGTTTGAGCATTCCTGCCCAGTTATCTGTCCCGTTCTTCTGCCTCACTTGTCTGCTACCTCTGCTACTCTCATCATTTGCCTCCTATCCTTCTGCATCCTCCATTTCATAACTCATCATTAAAATAGGGGGTGGCCACCTCCCTGCAGCTTTCAGAACACCCATG